CTTTCTAGGATTACTTTATTCAGTCTTTACGATAACCCTGAGACTGGGCGACCTATGAAGAAAAAAGGTTTATTTGGCTCATGATTTTGGTGACTGGGAAGTCCGAGAGCATGGGGCACATCTGGGGCTGGCCACTGGTTCTATGCTATAACACAGCTCACAGAAGCAGGAAGGAAAGGAGGTGCATACAGAGGGAGAGCCACCTGTGGGAAGCCACTGTACTTTTATACAGCCCACTCTTTTGGGAATGAATCCATTCCCATGGGAATGAGAGCTCAATCCTCCCATAAAACAGCCTTAACTATTTATATAATGAGACAGTGCCTCATTACACTGGCGACCAGGTTTATTAAGCACTTGAACCTTTGAGGGACAAATCATATCCAAACTAGAGTGCCCGTCACATTCCTTAACTAAATGGTGCTGCCAGTGGTTATTCACCTATCCATCCATGTGTCCTTCCATCTGAGGGGAAAAAAAAGGCACAACTCTCTACAAAGCATTGACAAAATCATTCTCTATTTTTTAACGCCATCATTTGAAAACCTTATATTTACTATATCAAGTGTGTCTCAAAGAACTATATATCCATCTACAGGTAGAATTATGGAAGTCACTGTATTGCCCTGGTTTCCTGGATTCAATGGGTTACACCGAAAGCTTCATTGCAGTAACACTATGTGTTTAGCACATTGGTCTCTGAGCCCAGGCATTGCCATGACTTCTACTCTACCACTTCAATGTCTAGAGCCCTTTTATTATGAACTGCCTAAAATGCCTTTAGAAAGAGAAGCTGTGTCTAGAGAAGCACACACAATCTGGAGAGAGCTCATGTTGGTCATGTGAATGTTCCAATCAAATAAACCACATAGCACCAATGGTGGCCCGTCAAGCACTACGAGAATCAGACCAAATAAACAGGTGAGAAAGTGGAGTAAGAGAAGGTCTGTCACACGCTCTGAGGTTGATTTAAAATCAGAGCTGCATTTGAATCTCAACTTTGTCATTCATTAGCTGGGAGTTCTTGAATAAGGGACTAGGTTTTTGGTTCTTGAGTTGCAAAATAGGAAGTAATAAACGAATATCAACCTCGTGGATTACTTTAAGGTTATCTTAACAGTTAAATGAGACAATCTGTAAAGTGTAAAAAAGCACCATCCAGTGATAGATGCCATTATTGTTATTTCCATCTTTTCACTTTACTAAGAAATGCTTATATGTACAGAGGTTACTATGTGTCAGGCATTGTTGTAGTAAGAACTTTAGAAGTATTAACCTATTTAATCCTTATAACTTCCTCTGAAGATAAATACTGTTGTTATTTCCATTTTATGGGGGAAAAAAGCTGCAGAAAACTAAATATAACCCGAAAGAGATATTAAATATATACATCTAATAAGTGGCAGATCTGTGACTTGAACCCAGGGCCCCATGGCCTGGGGCCCATGACTTTTACCACTAGACTGACTGCCTCTCACAAGGCATGTCTCTGAAGTAGTATACTGAAGAAAAATGTGGCCACAGAAACTTTGATACTTTGCCCTCAGTTACAATAAACAGAGTTCCTCTTCTTTACCCTATAAGCCCAGAAAATCAGTTGCACAAAAAATGGATAAGATTCTGGATGGAATTTGGACTGGGGCTGGGAATCTGGTGCCTAAAACATGAGCTTAGAATGGAAGGTTTGGTCCCTGGGGTAGGAAAGCCATCCTTAGGGCCAAAATGGGAAAGACTTCCCCCTTTTGATTTCTGTCGGGTTAGAGGTGAGTCTGCCTACTTGGCATAGCTGAGCACATCCTCCCCTCACTGCTTGGATTGGTGGAGGTACTTTATAGGAAAAGGAAGTGTGTGTGTTTGCCTTTTCTCCTTTCATCTTCCCAGGTCGGCGAAGGGAAGACCATTTCCCAGCTCTAGAAGGCTCATGGTTCTTGGATCTTTTGGCCCAGTTATCACAAGGCTTCAGATTCATACAGACTCACGGTTCAGTGCAGGTCAAATGATTAGGTACTATCTAGAGCACTACACTGTTTCAAATAATGTTGGTATTAAGGCAAAATCCAGATAACAAATAACATGCACCAAGAATCACTGTATTATTGGTCTTATCTGGGTGTGATGGTTAATTTCAGGTGTCATTTGGACTGTATACCTAGATTGCTGGTAAAGCATTACTTCTAGGTTGGTCAGTGAGGGTGTTTCTGAAGAGAGTAGCCTGTGAGTTGGACTTCGTGGGGAAGATCAGCCATCAATGTAGTCAAGAGTCATCTAATTGGCCGAGGGAACAGAATAGAACAAAAAGATAGAGTAAATGCAGATTTTCTCTCTCTTTTCTGGAGCTGGGACACCTTTTTTTTTTTTTTTTTGAGAGAGACATTTTTGCTGTAGGGAGTGTGCATTCACCAGAGAGAAAGAGACAGACAAATATCCTCCACAGGGGGGATAGCCTTGCTGCAATCTTTTCTCCTTCATTCTCCTCTCTCAGGATTTTGGCTATGCATGCATATGCGCCTGGCATGAGTTTTAAGCCACCAGGTCTGGGACTCAAACCGCAGTTGACTATGTGAGAGTCCAACGACATAACCACTATAGCATCTGCTAGTTCCAGGGCATTCTTCTTCTACTATCGTTGGACATCCAGATTCCAGATTTTCCATTCTTTGGACTCCAAGACTTGCACTACTGCCAGCTCTCCAGTTGCACCCCACATGCCCCGGATTCTCAGCTCTTTGGTCTTGGTCTGAGTTACATCATTGGCTTCTCTGGCTCTCCAATTCTCCAGCTTGCAGAGTTGGCTTACCATGGGTCTTCTAAGCTTTCATAATGGCACAAGCTAATTTCCCTAATAAATTCCCTTGTATCTATCTATGCATCCATCCATCCTACGGTTCTCTCTGGAAAACCCTGACATACACTGGGCATAGTCAGGACGTCAAAGACATTTTATCATGTTCCAGCAAAGCTCATTAGAGGGTTACTAATAAGACAGCACTAGGGAAAAGGAATATTGATGAATATTTTGATGCTAATTTAACTAAAAGCACTTTTCTTAATAACATCTAAGTGAAGGCATCTCGGCCTTTCTGCTCAGCTCTGTCAAGTGGAAACTGGAAACTGGATTCTGTGTGTGCTGTCTGTCAACTATGCAATAGCCTATATTTGGTACCACAGATATGAGTACTTGTCACATGATGCCAACTTTTTGGCCCCCTATTCTTCAGTAAAGACAGGTTATTCTGCTCTCCATAAACATGAACACAATAAGAACTCCAGAGCCAAATTTGTAACTGCAGTCTTTTGAAAAGACGTTAAGATTCTGGCACTTAGTAAATTCTACATGACAGGAAGTATTAACTGGATGTTTTTGGTAAACAGATTTAACCAGTCACAATACACCACTCCATCTAACCTTGACAACACTGTAAACTGTAATTTACAGAAATTCAGGTTAGTGATGGACTAATAGGCTAGGCCAGACACACAGTATAATTATACCCTCCCAGGAATCACAGGGGAACTATGTTAACTTATCCCTGATGTGTGCACATGCATCAGTGCACAAACAGCAGTACACCTCTAAGACTTTCCAGGTATATTTTCCTTACATGTATATATTTGTCTTTTCTTCCCTTTTTTTCTTTTCCTTTTTCTGGTTGTATCTGTCCCTCAATGGGTAGAACATTCTTACAATCTAGAAACCACACTTTCTATTATTTTTTTATTTTCATATAGATGCCCAAGAAAACATTCTGTATAGCTTTAGAAGCTAAATAAACCTAACCTTAGAAATATTATTAAAGCTTTGTATTCAAATGAACATTCTGTTTCAAAGAGTTATCATCAGAGGTGGTAGTTTTGCTTATACCAATTTTAGAATTCTTTAGATACCTTTCACAGCACTTCATGAGCTAAATGTGAAACACAATCTTATTTATTTATCATCGATTTTCCCTTTTCAAACTCGAAAGTGTTTATCCAAATTGATGACTTTATTCATCCATCCATCAGTCTAAGTTCTAACCAACTTTCTGTGGCATTTCTCTGAATCAAATTTTTTTCCATTTTCTCTAAAGATGAATCTTCTGAGGAGTTTCTAAAACATTTTGGTTGGTGGTTACATTACTATGGAAGTATATGGCTTCCCAAGAAAGCTCAGAAGATGAAGTTAGCATCTATCTCTAAATTCTGGCCTGATGATTTAAAAAAATAATTATTTTCTTGTTGTTCCTTAGTTCATCAATAGAAATGAACACAGGAAAGCAGAGCCAGGGCCCTTGGAGACTGTAAACCTCTCGGGGAAAGAAGGAATTTACTTCCCCTAATCACTCTGGAGTCCCAAAGGTCTGATACCCACCTTCCACATGACCCTAGAGAAAATTAAAGCCTAGGAGTTTTTCATAATTTTCTAGCCTACTGATTATTAGATATTCTCAGAAAATTAGATCAAGTTAATTTGGGGTAAATCCAACACTTATGTGGCTAATAATAGCAGATGCCCTAAACCTTGGTCAGACCTTGACACAGGTTGAATAGGTGGATGGATGATTTTAGTGGCTTCTTGAGTATTAAACTACTCCTTATGATTTCACCACTAGGCACCACTGCTGTGGCTTTAGTTAACTATAGTGAAGTGCTGGTACATGTTTAACAAACTAGCTCTTAGAGTGGGTGGGGAGCTTTAGTTTGCTATTTGGTTTTACACAGAGCAGCAGAAATGTTGATGGTTTATGTGTCAGCTGTCATGAGCCTGTACTAACAGGATCCGCTCTATCCCTATGAGCAGTTAACCACTAGACAAGTGAGAACAAGATCCTATAAGAATGGAAAATAAGACAGATAAGATATTGACTGGTGGAAAACGCAGGAAACAGGCCAGAGGTGATGGGTGCTAGCCACTTCACAATTTTACCTAGAGTCACCTTGGATTGATCAATGAGGAAGAACAGGTGGGGTACAGATAAAGCATGAATCACACCAGTGATCCTTCTAAGTCCTGAACTCACCTCGCTCCAGTTGCCCACTGTCCAGTCCGATGGGCACAGGATGTCTCTGTTGCAGGAAATGTGTGCCTTAGGTTTCAGCAGATGCTGGCAGTCCGTTGCTGGGAGGGCCTGCTCATCAGAGCCAGTGGTCTGGATGCACAGCACTGTTCGCTTCTGCTCTCCATAGGGCCCACATGTCGCTGAACATGCTTCCCATTCCCCTGCCCACCATCTGCAGACAGACAGAGATTGTGGCAGAAGGTCACCAAAAGTACATGTCTATCTGATTCAACCACTAGAAAGAGAACGTAGAAGCACAGATCCCAGAGCTGGGGGACCTTGGAGATACTGCTAGGGCCAAGTGACTTATTTAGTTGTAGCTCCAGAGCCCAGCATAAGTTCTTGACAAGTTGAACAGCTAAAACTTATTAGCTAAATTCATGTTTTGGATTCTCTGTGGAAAAACTAGTATGTCTGCCATTTTTCCACTCTATTATTATAAATGATTGACCAAGATTCTAAGACCATTGGTTACATAGAGGTGACTTTTGAAAAAATAGGGAGTCTTCTTGTCTCCCAGCACAGAAGGCAGAACAAGTGTCTCTACCCAGTGTATTGGTCCACCATTGTTCCTGTGTACAGCATGCTTCTTCATCCCTCTCTGTGGTAAAAACAAGGGATGTTTCTGTTTTTCATGAGAAGTCATTCATTGCTGACTTTAAGAAACCCCTCCTGACCTTGAGACTGTATTGAATTTTGGTAATTTTCAAGAAAATGGAACTTTGTCTTATTATTTTTGTTTCCTAAATATTGGATTCATTTGTGAAGACTTCTTTTGAGTCTCATACTTTTAATCTCATGTTAAAGATGTGAGAAGAACTAATATTCCTCAATTTTATTATATTCTTGAGTTAACAAGTAATTAAAATGATTGAACCTTTGATGTTGAGAATCTGGTTCTTCCTATGTAGAGGAAAAGCTAATACTGAAATAGTATGATGTGAAACTAGATAAATGCCCACTGTTATTCTAATTACTTTGTTCTACCTCTGACATTTCCAAGGGAGGCCAGGCACACTACTGAATATATAAAATGTCATTCTAGAAAGGCCTTAATCTGAGTTCACTGAAAGCCTAATTTATCTAATTACTTGCTATAGGGTTTTCAGCTGTATCACCAGATAGTGATAATAGACCTTCTCGCTTTTTCTTCTTGAAGTTCCCTTCAGTCCCTTGGGAAATATTTTGCATCAGCTGGTGCTATGGTCTGAATGTGTCCTCTAAAAATCATGAGTTGGAAACTTAATCCCCATTGAAACAGTATTGGGAGGTAGGGCTTCATAAAAAATGTTTAATACCAGATGTTTAAGCTTGGACTAATGGGATGTATTTAATGTTAAATGGATTAATATTACAATAAAAAGGGCTTTTCAGGGCCAACTCTGTGGCACAGTGGTAATGTGCTGCTCAAGAAAAGCTTGGCTCTGCATGGCAACCACAGGTTGAATCACTAGTCCAGTTGGCCTGAAATATACCAGGAATATGTACAACTGCCCAAGATTCCATGGCTGGAAGAGGGAGATCACGGCATGAATAGACCCTGTGGAGGGTATTCCTATTTCTTTTTCTCTTACTCTCACAGGCACATGCCCACACTTTATTGTGAATAAAGGAAATTTCTTTTTAAAAATGGCTTTCCTGAGTGGGTTCACTTGCCTTTGCTCTTCTGCCATGTGAGGACACAATGTTTGTCCCCTCTTACTCTTCCACTTTCTGCCATGTGAGGCTGCAGCAAGAAGGCCTTCACCAGACCAAATGCTGGTGCCTTGATCTTGGACTTCCAGTCACCAAACTATAAAAAATAAATTTCTGTTCTTTATAAACTACCTAGTTTGTGGTATGCTGTAATAGCAGAACAGAATGGATGAAGATAACTTGTCACCAGTTAAGAGCTAAAACCATCTTTCTCTCTTCTTTTTCTTGCAAAGACTTTTTTTTTAGGCTGATGATTCAGGAGCCATTATCAAACTGTTCTCTGCTCTCTGTCTCATTCCTCTTGGTGTCTGCCATAAGCCTACCTCTTCTAGAAGATTTCCAGGACATTTATAGTAGAATACAATTACTATGTTTACAGGAAGTTTTATACTTCTATTGATAGGAGATTTACAACAGAATATTTTCTTAAGGTGTTCTAAGTGATTGGCAAGAAAAAAAGATTTAGTCAAAATATTTATTCTCCCCCCCAAAGAATCAACAGCAACATAACCTGAATTTTTCTGTTTTTGCCATTATCTTTTTCTTACCAGAATGACAATGACACTGACAAAGATTCGGTACTTAACAAAATGTTAAGCTCCTGAACTTTCTCCTAGGTCCATATGTACACCTCCTTATGAAATTTAGTGCCACCAAAGAAGCCTGCCATGTCACTTTGGTAAGTATTCCCATACTTGATATCTGATCACCCTTAATATCTCCTGATGTTCTTCATCCTCTCTCTTCCCCTGGCCTTTCTTCAACAAGAATCCTCTTAGGTTGGTTTAGCCTGAATTTACCCCCCAGTGCTTTCTCTTATTAAAACTTAGATCAGGGGAACCAGCAGTTAGCGTAATGGCTATGTTGCTGGACTCCCACGTAGTCGACTGTGGTTCACGTCCTGGAACCGGTGGTTTAAAACTCACACTGGGTGCATGTGCGTGCATGCCCAAGATCCCCAGAGGAGAATGGAGGAGAAGGGATTACGGTGTGACCATCCCCCCTGGGGGGTGATTTCTCGCTTTCTGTCTCTATGTTTCTCTCTGTCTGTCTGGCAAGCGCACGTGCCCTATAGTGAAAAAAACTCTCAAAAAAAACTTAGATCAGTAATTTTCCATCTGTTGACCCCCACCCTGAACCTTGACTATAAATTCCCACTTATCCATACTCTATTTAAAGATGAGTCCAATCTCTCTCCCCCACTGCAAAATCCCATTTCAGTGGCCCCTGTGTTTAATGTAAAGATCCTGGATCAAATCCTTCTGGTCATGCTTTAACCAGTGTTATTAAATCATTTTCTCTTTAATAATACCTAACACACAATGGGATAATTGATTACGCATTGACTTGTATTGTTCTCAAGTCATTAAAATTAGTCAATCTTTTCCCAGTTATGACGTAAAAGTCCTAAGCCCTGGGGCTGCATCAGTGATTCTCACTATATCAACACTTGGGGAGCTTTAAAAAATTATCAGTGTTCAGGCCTATTGCAGACCAATTTACTCGGAATTTCTTGGAGGCAGGGCCAAGGCATCAGTGTTTTTAGAAGATTTTGTCCTGGTAAGGCTTACTATGGTTTGGGTAGGAGTCTCTTTTAAGATCAAGTAGGAGATAGGGAGTGGAGAACCTCTGGACTTCTCTCTTGTCTGTAGCTTCTACCCATTCCCATAGCAATGCTTGGGCAGCTATGACTGCAAATAGACCATGTTACTTTTTTCTTTCTAAACTTCATTACTAACATAACTGAAAGTCTAAATATAATTTTGCTACGTTTTTGCTTAGAATAGTAATTTCCTCAAAAAATTCAACTTTTACAATTATTATCTATTTTTCAAACTAATCTTTTTAGTGATGTTCTGGATTTCTACATGGCCATTATTGCCTTATAAGCACTTTTACCTCCTTGCCCTACATATCCTGACTGCATCCTATTACGCCAGCCTCATTTTCTGTAGCTTTCTTGTTTTTTTCCTACTTACACATTCTCAGTCCTCTCCCCACTTCCATGGACTTTCCCCAATTTCAACTATCCCATTCCTTCTATTTAGATCAGAGGTTCTCAACCAGTAGGAATTCTGATACTCCTCCCCCCGGGGGTCATTTGGGAATGTCTGAAGACATATTTTGTGGTCACAAATGGAGGGGAATGTGCCACTGGTGCTCATGGGCTAAATCTCCACAATGCTTACATAGCCCCCATGACAAAGAACCATCCATCCCTAAGTGGCGATAGTGCTAAGGTCAAGAAATCTTCATTTAAATCTTGGGCCATTACTTTGTGCACTGAATTCTATTTGCAGCTGCCAGAGTTGAATGAGTTACTATCAGATGTTTATTAAGTACTTTGGAGCTGGACACTATCACAGTTATAGCTTAGCAGAGCTTGGCCTTCCTGAAAACCAAAGTTCGGAGAGAAGTCAGTAGGGACAAGAGACTCAGATGACCTCTTTCTGGAGTCAGATATGTTTGAATTCCAAAGAATTTATTATTTTTTTTAATGTCAGAATTTCTTTTTTGATAGGCTACTCCATCCTGGAACATGCTATGCAAGGTTTTTATCCTGAAAGTCACTGGCCATGTAAGACATATTTTTTGTTTGGCTAATCAGAGGCTTTTATTAAATCTTCAAAAAAATTGTATTGAATACTCCTTTGGGGAAAACCACAGAATGTCCAAACTGGATGTAAAATATATTACTGAATAAAAATGATTCAGAAATTAAAAAGATTAAACCTTGATCATGGAATCCTTTTGGGAGAGGAAATGACAGCCCTGGATGATGGGTATAAACTTTTAGATAGAATGGAAATTAAGTAATAAAGGAAGATGTTGCAACTTGAAATTCATATCCAAGGGAACTATTGCACTAAGCTTGCACAAACAAATAGTATTCAGAAGTGATCTTCATTTATTATGTATTATTAAAAAAAGCAAGTTAACTTAATTTCTTTTTCTTTAATCCCTTTGTAAATTTGTATGCATGATTAGTTTTGGAGTCAGACTTTTTCTGTAATTTATAACACTTTTATTGTGGTTTTGTCCAGATTTTAGTAAAGAGGAATTAAATAGACAAATATGATTTTAATAAAATTAACTTGCTGAGGTCACTACCTTAAATACAGATGCCATAGATTTTAACCATAAATGTATGTGTGTGTGTGTGTGTGTGTGTGTGTGTGTGTGTGCGCC